CTCCTTCTCGATCTACCTCTGCCCTCCCCATCATCCCTCCCCATCTCCCTCTGCCTTCTCCATCCACCCTCCTCATCTTCCTCTGCCCTCTCCATACTCCCTCTGTCTTCTCCATCCTCCCTCCCCATCCTCCTTCTGCCATCCCCATCCTCCCCCTGCCCTCTCCATCTCCCTCTTCCCTCTGCATCCTCCCTCCCCATCTCCCTCTGCCTTCTCCATCCTCCCTCCCCATCCTCCTTCTGCCCTCCCCATCTCCCTCTGCCCTCTCCATCTCCACCACCCCAGAGCATCCTCCACCGAGTCACCAGCCTCAGTTCCTGGGTCCCCCCCTCCTTGACCCCATGTCGTTTTTTTTGCCCTCTCAGGGTGGGACGCGGAGGCTGGGGGCAGCGGTGGGATCAGCCCCGACGTCCTGGTGTCCCTCTCTGCCCCCAAGGAGTGCGCCCGACGCTTCCTGGGCCGCCAGCACTTCGTGGCCGGGCGCTTCCTCCCCTACGACGTGCAGAAGAAGTTTGAGCTCAACCCCCCCGAGTACCCCGGCACCGAGTGCGTGGTGGCCCTGCGAGCCCCCCAGCAATAAAGCACGTGGTGGTGGCTCTTCCCTGGGGGTCGGTGTCTGCCTGGGGACACGGGGCGAGGGGACGGTGGCCTCCTTGCAGGGTTGGGGCTGGGGGTTGTGCCAGGGCTCACAGAGTCCCATGGGGTTGGAAGGGACCTCTGGAGATCATCTCCTCCAACCCCCTGCCAGAGCAGGTCCACCCAGAGCAGGTCCCACAGGAACGTGTCCAGGCGGGGTTTGAATGTCTCCAGAGAAGGAGACTCCACCACCTCCCTGGGCAGCCTCTGCCAGGGCTCTGCCACCCTCAAAGTGAAGAAGTTCCTCCTCATGTTGAGGTGGAACTTTTTATGGTCAAGTTTGTTTGTATTGTGGCTCGTTTCCACGCCCCGTGTCCCCTGGGACCTGTCACCCACCTGCTTTTGGGGACAGAGCTGGTGTGTCACCTCCTCAACAGCCCATCCCATGGGGATGGGGCAGCCCTTGGGGTCCCTGTGAGGCCGCGGGGTCCCCGGTGCTGCCGCTCCCCCCGTACCCTGAAACCCTTGAACCCGGGGAAGGGTCCGGGGAGGAAAACGGGGTCTTTAATTAACAGGGAGAGCAGTGATGAGCCACAGCTGGGGACTGTCCCCACCTGTCCCAGCAGAGAGGGTGTTGCTGACCCTGTGGCAGCACAGGGAGCTGCAATCCCCCCCTCCCCACCCCCCCAGCCCCGGGGGGAGCTCGGTGCAGCCGGAGTTTTGGGGAATGCAGGGAATGCGCCGGGATTTCCGCCGGCCGGGCCGTGGGAGGGGGCTGCGGCCCCCACCCCTGGGGAGCTGCCCTTTGGGGGTGACCCCGGAGAAGGGGGTGTCTTCACCCCATCACACCCCCCCCCAAACCATCACACGCCAGCGCCGAGGGGTTTCTTTGC